CCTTTATCCTCCTGATGGGAGGTGATAGGAAAAAGAGATTGCCGATCCTCAAAGGTGGGACAGCTTAAAGGCAAAGCTCCCTTTATCCTCCTGATGGGAGGTGATAGGAAAAAGAGATTGCTGATCCTCAAACGTGGGATGGCTTAAAGGCAAAGCTGCCTGTTCCCCTCCTGATGGGAGGGATACTCACAAACTCTGCACGTTCCAGGAGCCTCACGTTCAGGCACCAGCTGTGGGGGTCTCTCCCTCTCTTCGCAGGTCATTGGCCAACGGTCCACGAGGGCAGGGGGAGCAGAAGCAGTGAACAGAGTCAGGATGGCCAGTGAGCACTGACGGAAGAAAGCCCTTCCGGGAGGCTGGTCCATGGTGCAGTGAAACAGCAGTGATACAGCTCCAGACTCAGTGAAACAGCTCCGTTTATTCCGTGGGAGAACTAGAGAAATTATAGTGTGGAGGCAGTAGCCAAAGCCTCAGCTGATAGGTGCTCATAGTATGCTTTATTTACATGTGGCAGTGGGCTCCTATCGTCCGACTATCAGGCAATGCCTAATTATCATAGAAAAAAACCTGGGGGTAGTTTTACTCCAAGTAACTATGCCAGAGGTCATGTTCCAAATACAGTCAAGCATTCATGCTTGGTGGCACTTTCCAAGTAAGTCAGGAAGAGAGCAGGAGGCCCCTTGCTGAGAAGGGGAGTCCTTCCATATGGCCCCGAGCCCCTTAGAGCCAGACATGGAGGACTACAACCCTAGCAGCAGGGTTCCCCAACACTAGATTCCCATTTTGGTTTTGATTTCTGAAGCTACTACATTTCACAGACAAATTGGTCAGGACCTTTTGTTTCACTTAACCCTTAGACATTATTTCTTGATACCAAACTATCTGAATTCAAGAGACAGAAACAAGGACCACCTTTCTCATTCAGGGTGATGGAGAAGTTCTTTCAGCTTTTGTGGACAGCTGACTCCCAGGCTCACTAGCCTAAGGGGCTCACTATCTCACGCTGGCCTTGAAAATGGCAGGGGCCAAGGGTATATGTCCTGTTTTGACCTTTGCTTCTGCTTCACAAGAAACATCGTCCCATCAGCCAGAGCATAGTACAGCCAGACTCAAGTTCATGTTGTGGGAATAGGCTTTGCAGGGGGAAACCTTGACTGCAAGTGCTGTTAGATGTATACAACAAGTCTAGGGAGTCTGTCCTGAGACATGCCTCCCCCAGAACCCTCTAAACATCCCTAGTTCTATACTTTTCCTTCTACAAATTGGCCAGGTATCACTTCTGCATTTAACATTGAACAACGATTCTGGGTATTTATATAAGAATATGTGAGAGGGAATGTGTGCTTGGGTGTATCGGACTGTGTAATGTGAGTGTATGTGAGGGAGTGCATGTGACTCTGTGTGTGTGTGTGTGTGTGTGTGTGTGTGTGTGTGTGTGTGCCTGTACGTGTATGATGGAGAAAATGTAAGGTGTCTTTGATTTCAGCCAGGCTTCTCAGAGGAAAATGAGCTTCAGTTACTTCACTGAAAGTCAAGGAACAAACACCCTGTCAGACTGATCAGGCAACTGAGGCTCTAAGCAGTGCTGGCCTCAGATGTGTTGTGACCTCAGGGCTGGCCATGTCTCAGGCCTAGCTTCACTCTCTTCTCAGCATGAACCCTTTCCCAGGGTTGCTTCAGGAATTGTTGAGGTGAGATGGCTTGCAATATTCCCAGGAGACAATTGTGATTCTTCTTAGAATGCCCGGCCCACTGTCTCTGTGCCCATCGCCACTCTGGTCAGAAATCAGGCCCTGTGCTGAGTGTGCTGAGCTGAACGTGATCAGTGCCACTCAGTCTGTGACTGCAAATGTCAGTCAGTGCCAAGTCAGTCAGTGCCAAATGTCAGTCAGTGCCAAGAAGCTGCCTTGGAACAGTCAGTGCTGTTTGGGAGACCTGAGCATGAACACTTACAGGAGTAGGCACACTGAAGGGCAGGAATAGCAAGAGCCAGGTGTAAGGGAGAACATATCTGACATGATAGAACAGTGAATAGGCCCTTTGTGGTGGAGTCAGGAAGTAAGTGATAGATGAATCTGGTCAATTGGGAGAAAGCACCAGGACAGAGATAGAACTCTGGAGGGATAGAGTTTATTAGCAAAGGATATTCTCATGGGACAGTTCCCTTCAGGGTAGGGAACTTGTCAGACCATGAGTTGTGGGCTGGGTTTTTATAAGGGGGGTTTCGGAGGATGCAGAAGGCGGGAAGATATTTTAAAAAATTAGGTGGGGGAGTGGGAGCCCAGGACTTATCAGAACAGCTTCTGTTAAAACCGTCCCCTTCCTTCTGATCTGGGTCCAAAGGTGTCTGTTTATCCTTTAAGATCATCAAAGAGGAAGCATGCTGTGCTGCAGCGACTCCTTGCAGTGATCAGGTCTCTGGTCAAAAGGTGGAGTCTGTTTATCCTTTAAGATCATCAAAGAGGGGTGATCTGCTGCCTTTGACCAAAAGGTGCAGAAAAGTCTGCTTCTCTTGACTTCAAAGACCAGGGTGCTCATCAGCTTGGTTCCTGCATTCTCAGGGGCTTGCAAAACTGTGAGGCCCTGTTGGGGAAGGGGCTGCTACAGATCTGAACCCTAACAGTAAGGAGGAGCCACCAGCAAGGAGCTACTGAGGAAGGAAGCCTAGGAGGGTTCCTGGAGTTTCTTTAGCTGTGGGCTATTTACCCAAGCTTCACTAAGTAGCCACTGGGTAGCTTTGTTCCAACCGATGCAGGGTTGAAGAACTTGCTGATTGTCCCCAGACCAGGGACTGAAGGCCCTGACTTTCCTCAGAATGAGTATTGCAAGTCCTCTGCCCTCAGAGTCCTGTTTAGCTTGAACCATATTGGGCCCAAACCCTATGATATATCTTTGTTTGGGCCTCTGTGTAAGCCATACTTGAGCTCCTGTGCTGGGGTAGGTTGGAAAAATGGGGCTGACCCTGACTTGCTGAGAGTGTGCCAGTGGAGATTTTCAGCAGGGGGAGTGATCTTCAGCCTATGTATTGCTAACCCTTGCAGAACATCCTTCTCTCTAGACAAACCCAGGAAAGTGGCATCAAGGAGTCCCTGTCCTGGGGCACACAGAGGACCCAGGATGCACTTTATGAGGCCAGGGCACCCCTAGAGCGTGGCCATTCTGCAGAGATCCCTGTGGCACAGCCAGGAACACTGGTGAGCCCTCTCTAGAAGGGTGCATGAGATGGGGATGGGGTGTGAGATAGGGTTAGGGCATATAAGACAGATGGGGATCATGGAAGATGGGGTTGGTTGCATGAGTTGAGGACGGGGTCAAGAAAAGTGAGGGTGGGGATGGGGACAGGTGAGTTGGGGATTAATGGGGCCAGATATTTCTATGAAGTATTACTAGGAGATTGCTGTCCTCTAGGCTGTGGATGTCCAGATGCAGAACATGGCACTGAGAGGCCCCAGTGGGGAGCCCCAACCTGGGCTGGAGAGCCAAGGCCGAGCTGCCTCTATGCCACGCCTGGCAGCAGAAACACAGGTGTGTTGTCTTAGAAGGGTCTGGGCCATGGGGAGGATGGATGTGCTTGATGATATACATCCTGAGAGGAGACTGAGGGTAGAGAGAAGCAGGTAGCTCCTGGGTCATCTGCCTGGAGCCTTCTACCTTTGTAGCCTGGATACCTCCTGCCACCATGAGACAGGACGATCAGCCTAATGGTCAGAGACACAGAGATCTTAACCTCCGATTTTTGGATCCCCAGCTGTGTCTTCCTAGCTCTGATCCTCCCAACTCTTAATGTCTCCCAACCCTTGTCTCATAGCCTCTGTTGTTCCCCAGGTGTTATTCCCCTGGCTCTTATACCCCTCAGCTCTGCTGTCCGCAGTTCTATTGTCCCTTCTTCTCATTTACCTGAGATTCTAGCATCAGAGCAGATAGCTCAGTCAAGTAAGTAATGCCTCAGGCCTCAGTCTACCCTAACCTTTCCTGCCCTATCCCTGAGGCCCTGTCCCCTCACTGGCCTCTCGTGAGGATTTTCTTACAGGGCACATTTAAGTAAAAACAAGATGCCTGACTCAGGAAGGGACAAGCCCCTTTCCCAAGGTCACAGAGACAGGTCTATGGCATTCCTGCTTTTGAAGCCAAGAAGAGGCTACAGAGGGATTTGTCTTTAGGGCCTGCCCAGGCTGATGTGGTTCACCTCCTGACTCTGTTGACTTTTCTTCCTGTGGTCATGGACAGTTCATGTGCTCTTTATTTTCATCCCTGTCTCCTCCCCACTGGCCATGTCTTCCTTTTACAGTGTCCCACTCTCATGGCTATAGCCTACAGTGCATTCCTCTGCCACCCCCTTCCCTCCTCCTTACTGTTTTCTCTTCTGTCCTGTGACCTCCACCCCACGGTGCCTGCCATGGCATCACAGGCTGAGCTGCTTCCTTCTAGCACTTAACATGAGGTGCCTGTGGCTGAGCTTGACAATACTTGGCAATACTTTCTTACATGTACTGATTTGGGCCTGGGGTTGGGGGCGGGATACCTCACAGGTCAGTCTCCAAGATGGGACAAGAAAAATCATCCCCCTGTAGTCAGATGTGAGTCACACTAAAATTCTTCAAACTAACAGCCGTACTTCTGGCAGGACTCACATGGGGAAGCAGCCCAGCTCCCAGCCTAGGGACTTGTATCCCAGACCTTGTTCCTTCTGGCTAGACTTGGACTGCTTCTCTGTACGCCTACATTTCCCTTCCCCTATGCCAACTCAGGCCATGAGCCCTCTCATCCCTTGTCCTCTGCAGCCTGCTCCTGATGCCAGCCCCATGAAGCGCTCAATCTCCACACTGGCCCCACGCCCCCATGGGACCCACCTTTGTAACACAGTCTTGGACCGGCCTCCCCCAAGCCAGGCATCACATCACCACCACCACCGCTGCCACCGGCGCAGGGACAAGAAGCAGAGGTCCCTAGAGAAGGGGCCCAGCCTGTCTGCTGACACAGAAGGTGGTGCAAGTACAGTATCTGAGGCGTCTCCTGAGCGGATATTTCCTGAGTTGGGGTGGGGGGACAAAAGCCCACAGGATCATCTTCCTTGATGTTCCTTATGACCCCCAGAACCTGCCCAGAGCAGGAAGTGGTGTGAGTCCCCGCTTTGGGTGCCAGACAGGAATATTGGGCCCCCCAGGCACTGGGTCTGCCCTGTTGCCCCAGAGGACTGTGTGGGTATAGAGTCAGAGGTCTCTGCCCTGCTCTGGACTTGCAGAGCCAACTTCCCTCCTTCTTTGCCAGTACCAAGCAGTGCTGCAGGATCTGGGCTGCCCCAGGAAGAAGGGTCCACAGGCTGTCGGCGGGAACGCAAACAGGAGCGAGGTCGGTCCCAGGAGCGGAGGCAGCCCTCATCCTCTTCTTCTGAGAAGCAGCGCTTTTACTCCTGTGACCGCTTTGGGGGCCGGGAGCCCACGCAACCCAAGCTGTCTCTCAGTAGCCACCCCACATCTCCGACAGCAGGGCTAGAGCCAGGACCCCAGCCACAGGTAACCACATGGGGCAGTATGGCTCCAGGTTTTAAACTCCTTTTCCCAGGCCTCTGAGCTTTTGCACCTTGACCCCCCAGTCCATGCCTGCCTCGCTAGCCACTGTGTCGGACAGTTGTCCCAAATCCTCACCATTTTCTTTGAACCACTTCTTTATTTTCCTCCCTGATAATGAACTTCTAGCCCACAATCTGTGTTCCACCCAGCCACCCACCTCTGCCTTCCCTTCCCTTCCCTTTGCCTCCTATCCTCCCTACTTCCCCTTGTGACTGTGTCCCCATCCCCTATGTTTAATGTGATTTTTATTTTTATCTGCTGTTCCCTTTTCATGTAGGGCAGTGGTTCCGTTAATGGGAGTCCCTTGATGTCAACATCTGGTGCTAGCACCCCAGGCCGAGGTGGGCGGAGACAGCTCCCCCAGACTCCTCTGACCCCACGCCCCAGCATCACTTACAAGACGGCAAACTCCTCACCCATCCACTTTGCTGGCGCTCAGAGTGGCCTCCCAGCCTTCTCCCCTGGCCGTCTCAGCCGCGGCCTTTCCGAACACAATGCACTGCTCCAGAAAGACCCTCTGAGCCAGCCCCTAGCCCCTGGCTCTCGAATTGGCTCTGACCCTTACCTAGGGCAGCGTTTGGACAGTGAGGCTTCTGCCCACACCCTGCCTGAGGACACACTCACCTTTGAAGAGGCAGTGGCCACCAACTCTGGCCGCTCCTCCAGGACTTCCTATGTGTCCTCCCTCACCTCCCAATCCCATCCTCTCCGCCGTGTGCCCAATGGCTACCACTGCACTTTGGGTCTCAGCACCGGCGTCCGGGCTCGGCACAGCTACCACCACCCAGACCAAGACCACTGGTGCTAGCTGCACCATGACCACCCATGCACCGGCTCAGTGGGTGTGGGTTCCAGTTGATGAGTTTTATCATCCCCGCTGGACTGTGGGGCCAGACCAGAGCCCCGGGAGGAGGGGGCCTCACCTTGTGGCCTCTGTGGTGGAGGTTCCTGCTTCTCTCCCTCCCTCCCTTTTACACTGGATGGACTAATAAAGCCCTTTCTTAGAGGGATGTGGTTTTCTCTATCCCCCTGTGTACTGCCTTCCTGGGTTCCATGCCAGGTGTTGGATCCTAAGCAGGAGGTAGCTGAGTTGAGATGGACCCAGCAAATCCAAATCCTGTGTCATGGCCTCCAGCATCCAGGGTCGGTGCTTGGGACTTTTTAGGAGGTGTGTGTCTCATGGGAAGAATCAGTTTTTGAATGTGTGGTATGGGGGACAGAATATACCTGAAAGCAAGAAAAGGAGCCCAGCTGTGGCCTAGCAGCACCTGCCAGCAGCAGTGATCACACATCTATTGTTGGTCTTAGAGTTAAATGGCAAGCGTGTGTAGAGATGTTCTCAAGGCTGTCTTTCCCCTCTACTGTTGCCACAACAGGGACCAAATCTGGAGAATGTTTATGCTGTTGATTCTGGTTTTCAGTCACAACACTCTTCACTGTTTGTCACTTCTATATACTTGATCTAGAAAAATAGAAAACAAAAAAATGGGGAAGGAAACATTAACTTTTAAAAAATCAATCTGTAGGAAGGTCTTCACTTTGCATTGTTTGTGTGAGTTGTGTGAAATGTTCCTGTATGGAATCTGCCCAGCCCGGGTGGTCTCTGATGACCCTGGCTCCTGGCTCAACCAAGTGCCTGACCTCTGGCTCCTGGGCATCATGTGTGAGGCGAGGCCTCATGAACTATCATGTGGGTTGGGCGAAAACTGCTCAGAGCAGCACTGGGGCTTGTGTTCTAGGGAGCACTGACAATGTCCAGCAGCAGACCACAGTCAGAAGCAAGCTGATGCGCCCCATATACCTCCTGCGAATGATGGGTTCTGGGGAAGCCACAGAGCAGTAGAGTATGTGCTTGTGTGAGGCATTTTCAATCTGTTCTTATCTGATTCTCAGGGACGGGATGCCTGCCAAGTAGAGTGTGATCTCTGTTGTGTATAAAAGTAGTTTTCATTGAGTGCTGAAGAGAGAAGAGGGTTAGTAAAGAAGAGGGGACAGGACAGGAGGGAAGAAACCCCAGCTAAAGGCACAGCAGGAAACTAGGAAAGGGGAAATGGCTCCTCAAATGAGCTTGGGTGTCTAGAGCCTAAGAAGTTCTCTGACTCCAGGCCCAGGGAGGCTATAGTCTCAAACAAAGCTTCACCTCATGGCCACTTTGCAAAGGGAAAACCCATACTCAGGATGGTGTTCAGTGTGCACAGATGGCCGGGATGTCCACTAAAAGACGATTGCACATAAATAAGTTCTCCTTGGTGTGTTCTCTGTTTTGAAACTTCAGATGACTTCTTGGTGGAATTGTTGGCTTCTAACCCATATTTCTCACAGAAGCTATGTGTGATGTGTGTGTGCGTGCGTGTCTGTGCTCACAGAAGATGTGTATGGAGCTGTGTTCAGTGAGTGACTGTTGTCAACCATAGGGCTATGCAACAAAAGACACATTTACTAGAAACAAAACACAAGACCACCACTTGGTCTAGGGTTTCAGCATGATTGTGACCAAACCTTTTTATAGAATTTCCTTATGTGAAGGCACAACACTCTGAAACTTTAAAGATAACAGAGTATTTTATTCCAATAGGGTAAAATTAAACAGACTGTGCATGTGACTGCACCCATGTTGCAAAGTAGAAGGATGTGCATTTTAATACTGATGTTCTGTCTCTGTTCCTGCCCAAGCCCATGTTCTCTTGGGTGTTAAATGTATGCATTCTGTGTAGAACTACAACTGTCTTCCCGACAGTCCTGGGATGGTTATAATCTTTATCCAACATAGCCTAGCTGGCTTGTCTGGATTCTTCCAGGCACTGATACTCATTAAAATCACAGTAAGTGGGGAGAGGAGTCTTGTTTCTGGACTTTGGGTTTGTTTCTGTTCTGTCTCTTCTCAAGCTATTGTCTGTTCCCTCTGAAATCTCATAGTGAGTTGCCAAATTTGAAATGCAACAACCAGCTGTCTGCATCTGGAAACTGTCAAGCAGTGGCTGTAGTTTGAACAAGTTATGTGTGCATGTAAAATATATACATATATACATTATACAAATATGTGCATGAAATGTATACCTTCGTACTTTTTGATACAATGTATTCATTTGTTAATTTTTAATTATATTTGATATAAATTGAAGGTTTGTTGCAAAACTTTATATTTAACAGTGTTGAGAGAGATGAGAGAGAGAGAGAGAGAGAGAGAGAGAGAGAGAGAGATCCAATCATGCAACACAATTGGGACCTACTTTTTAAAAAATCCTTTGACTAGTTTGCTGCCTGAATAATATTTACAAGCCAAACTTTGGATTCTGCTCTTGTTTCTACAATGAAATTTTGTATAAAGCAAAGTCCTTCAATTAAATAAAAACAACAACAACAACAAAAAATCAAAGTCAAAGCCCAGGATACCGCTGGCTGGTACCTGAGGACAGTGTGTCTTAGTGCGTCGGTGGACGGGGTGCACTGCCAGGGAGCCTCAGGAAAAAGCGGGAACTTTTAGAATGTGCCTGTGAGTCCCGGATAAAATGCAAGAGTGAGATGTGGTTGAGAGTGAGGATGAGCATAGCTTAGATTCCTGAGGATGCCTGGGCAAATGTGGATCCTGCAGATGCCATGGTGAGGGTTGTGCAGACAGCACCGAACTACATTACCCAGAATCCTCGGACATGGGAGGGGTGTCGGTGCTGTGCAGCTCCCAGAAGGCATGACAATAGGCTGTGCTGACAGAAAGGGTCGCGGTACCCAGAATCTTGGATTGCTCTTGCCCGGGTGGGTTCAAGTTCTGCAACTTTTGAGTCCCTTAGTCAGATTCTCTTCTGAACACCAGGTTCTCAACTTGACAGTGGCCACTGGCACTGGTGTTTACTTTCTTAAAAGTTAGAATCCCAAAAAGGCCAAGTCCTTCAAAGATTACACTTCCTAGAGGTGTCCTGGGGATGTTTCTGGTCTGTGTGCAGCCCTTAAATTGTGATTGGTGACACGTGCCCTTTGGATGTTCACAGCAGACTTGGGTTTGGAGTCAGGAAAGTGAATTCCTAGGTTCCCCCTTCTCGCCTGAGGTGCCACTAATCTTAGTGTCACAGAGATACAGTCAATAGGACATCATTTGAAACGTTGGAGCAGATTTTATTCATTAAGTACAGAAGGGTAAAAATGCAGCTTCCTGATTTGTGGAGAGACTACTGTTTTAAAGCGAGAGCAAACTGTAGAATGTTGAGCCAATGGAATCAGTGAAGTGAGAAAGGACAAAGGGTGGGTCAGTCATGATGAGGCCAACAGTATGTGGCAGTTGTCTGAGTGTAACACTGGTTTCAAGGCAGCTGGCATCTCCAAACAACTAGGCTCAGCCACCCATCCCAATATGCCAGTTAAAGAGATGAGGAAGGATGGGAAGCAGAAGAGATTTAGCAGTGTGCAGAAACAGCTAAAGGGGTCCAGGTTCATCTTTGGAGCACTGACATGATATTGGGAAGGTGGCAAGAGGTGTGTGTCATTGAGAAATACTGACCAAAGTGTGGTCTGGTTGTTTATTGTCTCAGTTATAGATGAAGATGGTCCAAAGAAGTCCTTAGAGGAAACAAACTATAGTATAGGTACATAGTGACTTTCATAGGGTGTAACCTCCTCATGGTGGATAATTGCTGTCATCTAGGGAGAGTTTGTCCCACAAGGCTTTGTATCTGGAATACAAGGTGACTGTAGGTTTACGGTGATTGGATACTTTCAGGTACCTTTTTAAGAGTGGGTCTGGAGCAAAGATCCTACCATAAAACGATTCAGGTTACTCTGACCTTTATGCTTTCAGCATTTAAAAGGAGTGAGATAGGTTAGTTGCGACCAGTATTAGACTAGGTGATCCAAAGTAAAGGAGACAGATGCAAGATGAAGGCAGAATGCCAGGCTTTATCTGGCTTTTAATTACCTTCAGTCCCAAGTGAGAAGCCAGTGCAATAGCAACTTCTAAGTGCCTGTTATATAAGGATTGTGCCTTCCTACAGAGTCTTGTAGGTAGGCCTTTCCCTTCTTGATGACTGGTTAGATTTGATTTTTGTATTTCAAAGGAGTTGTTCTCAGGTTCTGAGACAGGTCCTTGTGACTTATAAGAGATACACACTTGCTATTTCAAGCCCTCTTCATCAATGCTTCTGTAATGTAGTTGTATCCTCAGACTTGACATGACCACCACCATCTTGAAGCAGAGAGCCTGTGTAGTTCTATAGGAGACCTTGCCCATAACCATGAGAATAAAATCAGAATAGAGTAGCAGATAAGTCTATGGTAATGGTAATGGGTGTGTGAATATTTCCTCTTGGATATAGGGATGAGGGTTAGGCAACACTTCCTGACATTCCAATCACCAATCCTTCCTGTCTAAGTGGTGTGATGCCAAATTGTGTAGGAGGTAAAGAGTTGACTGGGGGTAGGATAGAGCCATCCATCAGTCACCAATGCTCCTGTAAGTAATTCCAATATGTATTTATTTCCCAAGCAGGGCTACATAGACTCTTTCCTTGTTCTGTTTGGTCCTTTTCCCTGTTTGGTGTTGATAGTTGCTTCGTTTATGACTCTCCAGGAAACTCATGAAACAGCTTCATGAGAAAGGAAGGTCAGGGGCCTGTTGTCAAGAGTTGGTTAGGGCATAACACGTTTTCCTGGCAGTGTTGAGCTTTCCTCAGGCAGACATATTAGTGGAAGTTGTGGAGTGGAGTATTGCTTTGATCACTTAGGACATAGCCTTACGGTGTCCGAATCCAGGCTGCATTAATTTGGTCCACTCTCTTAGTGTTAGGATTTGGACTGAGACACTGTGTGCTTACAATGCTGTGGGTCTCATTGGCCCCACTTAAGTGATCTCTGATAGTTGGTTTTGAATGGAAAAACTCAGTTACAGATGTGTTTCATGTTTTGTTTTGTTTTTTTTTTTCTGTAAGTTTCTCTTGCTTTATATATTTCAGGAAGTTCTGGCTAGGCTAAACTAACCTCAGCTAATCCCTTTTAGTCTAACAGGAAAAGTAAGGACATTTTTCCTATATATTTTAGGTTGTATTTTAGCAGAAGAAAATAATTATGGTCAGATATGAAAGACTAAGGACAATGATGGTTTTATACAGAACCGAAGCTGCCTTACCTCACACTGTGGGGAGAACAGTCCTTTATTCTATTATAGCATATGACTTCTTAAGATTTTTCCATTTCCCTCCCCTTTTAACTAGAGAAAAATTTACAAGATCCTGGGTATATAGGTTTATAAAATATGTATACAGAACACCAGGCTTGGTGGTGCATACCTTTAATGCCAGCCCTCGGGAGGCAGAAGCAGGTGGATCTCTGAGATTGAGACCAGCCTGGTCTACATTGTGAGTTTCAGGTGGGCTGGGACTAGGGGGACCGTGTCAGAAAAAAACAGAAAATTAAATATTTATAAAGAACACTTACAGAGAATAAATCATAAGAAAATTTATTTTAAAACAATTCTCTCATATACTTTTTTTCATTTATTAAACATTAAAGAAAATTTACAAACTAATGAGACGGCAATGCTTACTTTTCTTTTTTGGTCTTTTTGAGACAGGGTCTCCCTGTAGCCCCAGCTGTCCTGGAACTCACTATGTAGACCAGGCTGGCATTGAACTCACGGAGATCCGCCTGCCTTTCTCTGCCTCCCAAGTGCTGGGATTAAAGGCGTGTGCCACCACACCTGGCAGTTGCTTACTTATTTTTACATGAAGAATTAAATCTTGGCTCAACTTAAAAAATATTTATTTCCATTTTATGTGTATGAGTGTTTCTGTCAGCATGTATATAAAGTACATTATGTGCATGCAGTGCTTGCAGAGGCCAGAAGGCAGCTGATCCTTTGGAACTGGCATTTTGGGTGGTTGTTAGCTGCCATGTCGGTGCTAGGAACTGAGCCCTGGTTGCCTGTAAGTGCAGCAAGTGCTCTTAACCATTGAGCCATCTCTCCAGGCTGTTGGCCTCATATTGATACTGAGTACAGGAGGCAGAGCATTTTCAACATTATTTTCAGAGTTAATATTTTGATTTTATAGTCAATATGTATGTAGCACAAAATTGCAGAAATAAGTTTAGAAAGAGTACAGAAATTGTTGGACATTCTCTCTTAATCCCAAACCAAAATTAATTTGGTAATTTTTTTGTGACGCTCAAGTCAACAGAAATAGCAATTTTAAAAATCAAATACTGTAACACAGTACAATTCAAAGATAACTAATTTGATAAACCTGAAGAATAACAGTAAGAAAAAAATGCTAAAAGTATTTGCTTTCTATAATTAGACCATTATGTTTCCATAAAAACAGAAAACTTGCACTTGGTAGGCAGAGGCAGGTGGATCGCTCTGATTTCAAGGCCATCCTGGTCTACATAGTGAGTTCCAGGACAGCTGGGGCTACAGGGAGACCCTGTTTCAAAAAGACCAAAAAAAAAAAACAGAAAACTTACTATGTGCAGTAAAAGCACTGACATTCAAATGCAATAGTCTTGAACTTCAGCTGAGGTGTTTCAGTGTTCATTAGCATTGCCTGCGTTGATGGCATACGCCATACAAAGTGTACATTGAGTGTTCAGAAACCAAGGCTGTAGTGAAGTTGCATGATCTAACATGGGTGAGGACTACCTTGGATTCATGATGTGTTTGATTTTAAATTAATATTTGATTATTGTTCATTCAGAAGCCTCAAACTGTTGCAACTTCCACATTCAATTTTGTAACCCCATATGGAGTTGTGACCTATACTTTAAAAAGCTGTTTCTACATCTCAAAGAAGACAGTCTGCTGTCAGATGTGGTTCACGCCTTTAATCCCAGCACTCAGGAGGCAGAGAAAGGCAGATCTCTGAGTTTGAGGCCAGCCTGGTCTACACAGCGAGTTCCAGGCCACTTGGGGCTACAGGGGGACCCTGTCTCAAACAACAACAATGACAACAACAAAAATAAAGACAGCTTGCTACTGTGTGGGTCACTAAGAAATCTCTCAGAACAGCCAATGCCATCCTCAGCAACCCTCAGGCCTGGAGACAGAGTATGGCACTAGCACCAGCCTCTCAGGGTTCCTGAGCACAGAGGCTCACCACAGAAGAGCACCTGCATTAGGCAGCGTCCTTTAGAGGAATATAACCAAATATGTTTATATTATAAAAGGGTTTATTAGATTGGCTTACATGACAGAGTAAGTGCAACAATGGCCATCTGCATGTTAGGCTGAGAACCTAAAACCTGCTAAATCTACAACATTGGATGCATCAGCATTCCAATTCAGGGCTGAAGGTCTGGAGTTCCCTGGAGAGTAGCTCATGTTGAGACCACAGTGGAAGGCCAAAGAAGCTGGAGCCTGTGTCAGTGAAGGACGGTAGAACCAGTAATAGACAACATAGGCTGAAGGAGAAGTCAAGGAAGGCCAAGCCTACATGGCTTTATCCTCAGATGTCTTTAGATCTGTACCGCTAGTTGGAAGGGGTCACCCATTTTTAGAGGTGTGTCTTCTTTTTTAAAAAATATATTTTTAGGTTCACAGTTGAATTAAACTTGTTAAAAAATATTATTTATATTTTATGTATATAAATATATTGCCTGCATG